GGAGCACGTTGAAGTCCTGAAGCTCGTTGCAGCGGACGCCTTTGTACCCCGAATCGCACCTGCACAAGTTGATGCGTGTCACGTATCTTAGTCCCACTCAAAATCGGTTTTAAAGTTTCAATATCAAAAATCACCACTAGATGGCAGACATGTCTTAGTTGCGCCTACACTGGGTCTTCGACTACACAAGCACATACATTTTGGTGGCAAGACAGTTTGAACGGATTTTTACGGGTATTTTGATGTTTACTGAAACTGCCATTCTTTTTTGCTAATAGGCTGTAGTTTTTCAGATATTCCATATTTTAGGGGTTTTTTTTGAAGTGATAATAATACGCAAGTTATGACATTGGTGTTTTCTTTCTGCTTCAACGCTTATGAAGCTTTATGTGTCTTTTCAAACATCTGCTTTTACTTTGGAAAACTATGGTCAACATTTTTGCCAATTTTCACGGATGTGAGCAAACCAATGACTGAATAATAGTTTTTATTTGTGCGTTTTCTGCACCGCGGTCCCCGATTAGCGCCATCACCTGCAGACGGGCATGTTGCGGTGGATTTCACAGCGTCCGTGAAGACAGAACCCAGAGTGCGAGTCGCCGCAGCTGTCAGGCATTCCGGCGTAGAATCCGTCTCCGTGCTCCAGTCCTTTGGTTTCTGAGCAATCAAACAAAAACTTGTGATCACAGGAAGTGATGTCAAGGCGACTCTGCGTTTGAGCGACCTTACCGAGGACATTTACTTTGAAAGGGCTGCCGTCATCCTTCCTGCCCACTTTGTCTTTGTCGGCTGGTGACCGAGAAAAAGACGAAAATAACATGTTTGACGTTTGGCAGTGGCGAATTCACCAATTAACTTTTTTGTCAGGGTAGGGGGACATATCCGCCAATATTCGTGGAAGCCCTTGCCAGTACGTCCATCCATCCATTTTCTAACCCGCTTTTCCTCATGAGGGTGGCGGGCATGCCGGAGCCTATCCCAGCTGTCGGCCTTCATGGAAAAGGAAGCAGGCCGACACTTCAAAATAAAAGTCCAGCTGCACATAAATGCGTATACTAATCATAAATTACACTGGCCGGAATTAAAAGCTGCCGTGTGCGCTTGCTGAAAGGTCAACACAGAAAAGACGATTACGGCGGTTGTCATGCCAACTGAAATCCAACGAAGAACCACACGACGACTACTATGACATCACGAGAATCAGAAACGAGTCATCATCAATGTTAATATGATCATCATTATAAGAACTTGTTGTAATCAAGAGTCGTTCATTTGGTCGTCCACGTTTCCGAAGCTCGAAAATCAGAGCGCGGGATGCGCCAACATTCCTCAGTTGTTCAAGGTGGGGTGAGTAAAGGAAGAAGAAATAAGGCTGCCTACGCTCCTCATCTTCTTCAACATTTGTCCCAGATCCCAATCCAGGAGCTTCGTCCCCAAAATAAATAAGAACAACAACAAAAAAAAGGAAGAAGGGAGGAGGAAAAGGAGGCTATACCATCCGAGAGTTAGTGTCTGCAGAAAAATGTCCCAGGTTGTGTTTGTGTCGTCGGCCACGGTTGTTCTTTGGACATTTCCTGAAGGGACACACACACACACACACACACACACACACACACACACACACACACACACAAAGATATATATGCAGACACAAATATATACACACATAGAAGCACACACCAGTATGGACGCAAGCAAGCAAACACACACGAACACACATGCACATGCACACACACAAATGCATTGAGACAAACAGACACACAAAAACAAAGGTGCACACAGTCAAGCATACGCACGCACGCACACACACACACACAAGCGAGCGTGCAGAGCCTGTTTGTTAGGAGGTGTACGAGCGAGGGCGATAGCGGGCGGCGTACCTTGTGATGCACATGACGACGGCCACGATGATGGCGATCTGAACGGCGCCGATGACCGATGCGATCAGGATGTAATGCAGCTTCTGGCCACTGGGGACCACGTAGAGCACGTTGAAGTCCTGAAGCTCGTTGCAGCGGACGCCTTTGTACCCCGAATCGCACCTGCACAAGTTGATGCGTGTCACGTATCTTAGTCCCACTCAAAATCGGTTTTAAAGTTTCAATATCAAAAATCACCACTAGATGGCAGACATGTCTTAGTTGCGCCTACACTGGGTCTTCGACTACACAAGCACATACATTTTGGTGGCAAGACAGTTTGAACGGATTTTTACGGGTATTTTGATGTTTACTGAAACTGCCATTCTTTTTTGCTCATAGGCTGTAGTTTTTCAGATATTCCATATTTTAGGGGTTTTTTTTTGAAGTGATAATAATACGCAAGTTATGACATTGGTGTTTTCTTTCTGCTTCAACGCTTATGAAGCTTTATGTGTCTTTTCAAACATCTGCTTTTACTTTGGAAAACTATGGTCAACATTTTTGCCAATTTTCACGGATGTGAGCAAACCAATGACTGAATAATAGTTTTTATTTGTGCGTTTTCTGCACCGCGGTCCCCGATTAGCGCCATCACCTGCAGACGGGCATGTTGCGGTGGATTTCACAGCGTCCGTGAAGACAGAACCCAGAGTGCGAGTCGCCGCAGCTGTCAGGCATTCCGGCGTAGAATCCGTCTCCGTGCTCCAGTCCTTTGGTTTCTGAGCAATCAAACAAAAACTTGTGATCACAGGAAGTGATGTCAAGGCGACTCTGCGTTTGAGCGACCTTACCGAGGACATTTACTTTGAAAGGGCTGCCGTCATCCTTCCTGCCCACTTTGTCTTTGTCGGCTGGTGACCGAGAAAAAGACGAAAATAACATGTTTGACGTTTGGCAGTGGCGAATTCACCAATTAACTTTTTTGTCAGGGTAGGGGGACATATCCGCCAATATTCGTGGAAGCCCTTGCCAGTACGTCCATCCATCCATTTTCTAACCCGCTTTTCCTCATGAGGGTGGCGGGCATGCCGGAGCCTATCCCAGCTGTCTTCAGGAAGTAGGCGGGGTCTCTCTGAATTGGTTGCCAGCCAATCACAGGGCACACAGAGACACACAACCAACCGCACTCACACTCACACTTTGGGACAATTTAGAGTGTTCCATTAACCTGCCACGCATGTTTTTGGAATGTAGGACGAAGCCGGAATACCCGGAGAAAACCCATGCAGGAACAGGGAAAATATGCAAATTCCATACAAGAACCCTGCACCTCTGCAATGTGACCACCGGGCTGCCACTGCCGATCTTCTAAATGTTAGCAATCTGCCCGGCTCTCCCAAAAAAATAGGAATTTTGAAAATAAATGAATAAATAAATCAGTTAAAGACTGTATATATGTTGAGAAAAAAAATATATAGTCGAATCCGTGTGTGTTCTGAAGCGCAAATATGCAGGAGTCCACTATTCCTTAATTGCTCTTTTTCCATTTTATCACTGCATTCAAACTCAAATTTTGTCTCGCAAGGCAAAGCAAAAAATTGAGCGACCATGTGCAACTCGCAAAACTCATCCGTTGGAGAAACTCACAAGTCAAGCTATTACTCCAACTCTTCCACAAAATTGCCTGATACAAAATGTTGAATTTAATTTTGTCAAGTGGTTGCACAAATTAAAATCATTTGGATCCAGATACATTTTTAAGTAGACTATACACCTGCTTAATTTTTTTAAAAAAATCCAAAATCAGATTGTGTGCAGCAACCTGACAAAATCAAATTCAGTCAATTCAACACCCCTTTTTTTTTCAGCGTCTTTAGCATTTTGCCAAATTGGAATGCCGTCGACATGAGCGTGTCGGCCCACCTCGACATCTGCCGAGGTGTTCCACGTCGATCTGTTCCTGCTTCATGCAGGACGCCTCTCGGACCAAACACGGACTGTTGTATGAGTTGCCGTCTGTGGCGCAAACAGCATTCTCGTTGTGGCCGCTGCAGTCGATGTTGCAGATGCACCTGAAGCCACAAGAGGGGGAACATGGGCGCACCCTGTTCATGGTCTTGGCTTCGTTAGATGGTTTTTGTCCTGCCTCTTGGTTTTTGGAATTGTGAACCCTTGACTCTTTTTTTTTTTTTGTCAGGATATTTTTCTCCACGTATTTCTTGAATAACTCTGGTTGTGTCGGGCGCCTACTTATCAGGCGCCTAGTCTCACAAGGTTCTCAAGTCTTATGGCCTTGCCAAACCTCACGTTCTTAGTCAGGATTCGTGATCTCGTTCGGTCACACAGTCTCTGTACGGTCTTTATAATCTTGGTCAAGCGTCCTGACTTTTGTGTGGATGTTTGTGCTCACCATGTGTCCTCCGCGTCTTCGTCACATTCGGCTCCATATTTGCAAGTGCTGCACTTGCTGTTCTTGATCACATCGGAAGAAGAACCTTCTTCTTCTTCATCATCTGGGTGGGAAAAAAAAACCCAACAACAACAAAGAAGAATTTGGAAAACTGATCACACGGCTGGAGGTGCCTGGCAGTCGACAACAAGTAATACAAAAAGAAAATGGAGAAAAGTCAAAGAATGAGAAAAAGGAGGAGGAAAAAAGTACAAAAAGAGCCTCCGGTGACACCATGAAAATTCAGGATGTTTTGGGATTTTTTTTTTGCTGATATGTTCTCATATCTTACTGCATTATATTTTGGTTTTCATTTTTTCCTGTGTTATTTGAAAAAAATATTTCACTGTACAAAAGAAGATTAAGAACACACCATCTGGATCTCCAGAACCTGAGCCAGGATCTGTGAAGAAAAAGAATAAATTGAACAATTAACTTCTTCTGTTCACAAAAGAGTTTCATTTTTGTGAATGCGATAGGTGGCGCAAAGTCAAGCTTGACCGTCAGAACAAGGTCCGTTGGCCACCCTGGAGATGATCCGCTGCTGCTTGCAGGACGCTTGGCGCCGGAAGCACTCGTTTTGGTACGTGTCCCCGTTGGAGCCGCACACCGGAACGTACTTCTTGTGGCACTGAACCACCACCAAAACAACAACAACAACAAAAACAACAACAACGACGACAGAAAAAGACAACGTCGGCAGCGTCCAAGACAGCAGTAGGTTATAAAAAAAAGGGCCAACCCAGTAGTCTAATTTCTTCTCATTTGCAATTGTCGCTATGATTAATAATAAAAAAAATAAATAATCACGATGATGTCAAATTACATTTGTCGTTTGTTTTATTTATTTGTAATGAATTTGGTTACAATTATCCAAATGTTAAATTAATTTAGTAATATTTCTTATTTACAAATGTATTCATCGTTTATTTAATGAGAGAGCTTAATATAAACTTCAATAAAAGCAATGTAAAACACAAAATTCTTTTCTCATAAAATAATTCATTGCAACTAACTTTTGGTACAAATAATGAATTTAGAATGATTTTAATGTTTATTTGTTTCACGAGTAAATTGCCTAAGCAGTTATTTCATGTGAGATATGAACATAAATTTGTTTTTAAATAATCAAATGCAAAATATACAAAATATTTTTTAATCATTCCAATTTTTACATTTTATTCAAAATACAAGAATTAACCAATTATTACATGATGTAAAACATTCAATGTAAAATATATTTTTTAAAAAAACATTTCACGCAATCAGCCTATTTCACGGGTGAATACAAAATCAATCAATTTTCGAATGCAACAAATGTGACAGGACTGTCGCTACCACACGTCAACCGTCAATCACGTCGCAGCTTCCAATCATCCACCGATGGATGGATTAACCGATGGTGTTGTGATTGGTCACCTCATACCTGGAACTGACAAACACACTTGAGCTGCGAGTGGTCGTCTCTGCACACGCCTCCGAATCGGCACGTGGTCTGGTCGCACGCCAGCAGGTCGCTCTTCTTCTCCAACGCGCCTGAACATTGACAACCACAAAACCAGCATGTTTGCTCCTCTCGTTTGTTTTTGTCATTTGCAAATTAGTTTTTGTAGAAACGACCGCTTATTTTAAGTATTTTTTTTTCCCCCTCTGACATGAACAGTGCCATCACCACACAGCCTCCAAGTGACGTCTGTACAGCCAATATGGTGGCCGTCGCCTTCGTTCCCATGGGGACGGGTTTACGAGCCGTCCTAAAAGTGCCAATCGGCACGGCACGACGGAAAAATCCTCCCAACCACGCGCAGGTCAGTTTTGTGCGCTCAAGAAACAAGAAAAATTGAATATTGATCTCCAGCGCAGTCATCAAGTGGATCTACCGTGTTAATGACCTGATGTATGACAATCGATTTGCGACCAGTCACAACCTGACTCATCAGTGTTGCCAGAGCATCGCTTGACCAGCATTTGCCATTTGTCTGTGCATCTATTTTCTATCGTGTTTAGAATTGCCTCTTGCCTTGACATTTGGATTTTAGTCTGTTTTACTGCCACTTCTCCTCCCAAAACAACTGATTGGTCTGATTGGCAGTCAATGTCAGCTATCATCAAGAAATCAATAAATGGACTTGTCACCAGCCAATGAGAGGGCACATACTCCCTTACAATTGATTGGTCCCCAGTCCAAGTCAGCAAACAAATTAACGAACTATAGACTGGTCACAAGTCAAAGTCAGGGTATCGGTCTTCAGACAGTTGACTGGTGGCTAGTCAATGTCAGGACACATATTGACCAGCATTGGACCAGTCGCCTGCCAATCACAAAGCACATCAAATTCCAAACGGGAATTTGAGACTCAAACTTGGACGCTGACAATTGCAAGGCAGACTTTGCCGCCACTCGTGCACCATGCTGCCATCTGGTCACATTCAGTGAGTTCACTCCTTCAGCTGTTGCTTTTCAAACTCAAATAAGTCAGCGTTGCAATTTTTAAAATTTTGCATTTGCCGTTCGCTGAATTTCTCGCCGTCGGCGGATTTTCTCGCCAACGGAAAGTGATTTTGCATGGAATTTTTAGCATGTACTGTCTGATGTTTGTTGATTTTTTTTTTTTTTTTTAAAGAGATGAATTGATTGTGGGGGTGGGGGTTCGGTCACACAACGCGCGTGCACGCGTCCAGGAGAGTGAAGGAGGCTGCAGGTTGCACGCACGCGGACACGCTTCACTGTGAGGTGAAACCCGCCTTCATCCTCCTCCTCCTCGTCCCAAAGATGAATTATGAATATGAACCGAATGAGTGACGTAGGCTCATCTTACCTGCACACGTTTTTCCTTGACACTCCCCGCCGCCCTGAGGATGGTAGGACGCGCGCACCGCGGGCACGCCGAGCAGCAGCAACAGCAGAGACAACGTGCGCGCGCGCACCAGGCGGCCGAGCATCCCGCCGGCGGGAAAGCTTCCCGCGCCCGTTGCCATCGTGGAGGAGGAAGGGAAAGAGGAAGAAGGACGGAGGAGCAAGATGACGACAGGGCGTTCACGAAGCAGGGAGCATCGTTACCATCGCGCGTCCTCCTCCTCGGCGTACGGGCGCGTGCGTACTGGTGTGCGTAGTTCCTGCGGGAGGCACCGCCTACTTCCGGTACGTCGGGCGCGTGCGCCGAAGGAGAAGAAGACGATGAATAGGAAGCGGCACAACAAAGAGAAAGGGAGCCAGTGCGGCAAAGAGCACGGGGGGGGGGGGGGGGGGCGGGGCTTCCCTGCAAACG